CGTGTACATGTGTCTCCAGCAAAAAGGTAACTGTGTATCCATTTTTTAGAACACATTCAATGAGTTCATCCGCAGATTCGGTGCTGATGAAGAATTTCGTGGGATCATAATTCAGGACTGGGTCGATGACGGCCGCCTCTTTTGTTTCAGGACAGGCTACAACATACTGCCAAGAACAAGTCTTGGTCTCGAAGAATGGGTGGACTTTCGGTTCCATTCCGTTGGCCAAGCCGAAGATCACTTTAAGGAATTGCTTTCAAGTCAAAACGAAACTTGAGTTGTGTTTTCCAGGGTTGTGTTGAGGTTGGCTGCCCAGGTGGTTGGAATTACGTATTTATAGGATCATCAGTGCCACCCAGCATAGCTCGTATACAGACAGAGTACATATGTAGATATACATATAACTTAAACCTACATGTATACAGTCAGAAATGATGTATTCGGTGACTATCTAGGTGGCTAACTGTACAATGGAAGAGAATGTGATTAAACACCCCCATGTATTCCGTGGGACCCGTCAAGTGGCTATAGGAGCCCAAAGCCCAGCCATGACTTTGTCAAAGAACTTCCACGAGAAGCCCGGTTTGATTTGGGTGTGGACCTATATGGATCTCAACAACCTTGGTAATGTGTTGATTTCTTTATGTATATGTGATGCACCGCCCTTTGCCTTGCCTACACGATCTCATGGGGGCTACGGAGAGACGGTGGTCGAGAGGGCTAGAAAGAGGAAGAAGGAAGAAGAAGAGAAGAGGAAGAAAGGTGGGAGGAGGCCTTTTGTACCCCCAACAACACGTACCTTCCTAAACTGAGCACCTGCCTTGCACCTTCCCTAGGCAGCAGACGACCCCCCAACCACTGGACATCACAAAGTTCGAGACGATTCCCGACGTCACCTTTACATTGATCTATCAGATCGGGCACGGAAAGAAATTATGCGATGGGCGAGTTGAATAGATTGACGGTAAGGACAGTGGAATATGAATTTGGTGTTTTAGGCTATCTGCCACATGAAATTACCGGTTCTGAAAATAGACCACCAAATGGTTGTGGTCATTAAGGCCTTGAAACTCGTATGGAAGGTGACTGTCTTCAACTTCCTTTCTAGCCCATTGAAATCAAATGTCTTTCTTAAATCTGTCTGTTTATTGCTAGCCATCAACCCATTGTTTTGTCAAGCAACCGACCTTGCAGTCGCGGACTTTTCACACATACAAAGACATCCCAGATAAGAGAGATCGTCCATAGGTATGTATTGCAAATTGTTTCTTTGCGAGGATTGTGGTCGATTAGAAACCCATACCTATTGGACTGAACTCGGACGGGGATCGTTTCCCGATAGAAGCGTCACTGACAGACCATTGGTCGATCTCGCTCTGGTCACTCGGCACGTCCCAGCGAGCAGTTTGAAGATCAAGGGTGTGAGCGCTTTGGTTGAATCGGCACTGCCAGCTCTTCACGGCCTTGCATCCGGGCTTCTGGCATAGGTGGCCCATGTAGCATTTGATTGATCGGCACGCGCCAGCCCGAGTGCACGGATGTTGGAGGAGCATGTATCGCAGAACCTCAATGATCACGTTAGAGACATCGCTGTGGTCGTAGGTGCAGCTCATGTCACCGCATTCTCCAGACAGATGGTAGCTATTGCAGACTTTGTGTTCCTTGGCTCGAGCGTGGTACTCATCGAAGGCTTCAGGTGACGGGTGAGGATAGTACGGGTCGATACGGTCCCCATCTTTATTGACTGGGATGAATTCTTCCGTTTTGATGCTCGGCAACGGGAGCATTGATCTAAGGAAGTCCTCTGAGCGACCGACAACTGTAGGTGAAGACCACAATTGTTTAGGTGAATCACTTGCACCTGAGTGTTTAGATGACAGTTGATGATTCAATGATTGGTTCGGCATAACATGTTGTTTATTGCAACCGTTGCCGAACTTGCAGATACCCTAGGTCGATGTCAGTCAACAACTTACCCACGATGGCATGGTGTGATGGGGAATCAATACCTTTTGGAAGTGCTTGCAGACTGGTTTGGTGGTATTCCCACAATTCGCACCATTTGAGCCATTAGAAAGGTGGTGTGCACCGTTTCCACCGTTGAATTTGGCCACAGTCGGTGACGCAGCCGGGCCCGTGGGGGGCTTGCTGTTAAGTAAAGGAGTAGACATGAACACCGAAGGCAACTCTCTGATAGGGAGATCCAATGCCTCGAATTCACGATGGAAACCAGCAGCTTTGATGAGGGTGATACGGTCACTTCTGCCTCTATAGGGCGTCAGCAGGGAGCCGTATGCAGTGTCGTGGCAACCGGCAAAATAGATATGGCGGCATTGGTTGAGATCCACGAAGAGACGGAACATTTCTTAATTCCACAGCAAATATCAGTACAATAACAATACTATTCATGCCATATTGTTCGTTACCTCTGATCTTGAAATCACTGCCTTCTTTCTTCTCTGCGGCATCGACATAATCAAACAGCTCTTGGGCACGGGTAAATGACGAAGTAAATGGTGACATAGATCGAGCCTCGTGGCCCATAAGTCCAGCTCGTGCTAGCGCCTTCGACAAACCGAGAACATTTGCATAGACACGAACCATGATCCGACACTGTTCTGCCTGCATTCCCATTGTCGAATGCATAAGCTCTTTGACAGAGTCACTCAGCGCACGGGCTGCATTAATACCACCTTCGCTGCCATGCTTCAGGAAATGCTCTTTGAACTTAAAAGAGGTAACGTTAGTCCATCGGTTGAATGCCAAGAAAAGCAACACAGTCTCACCAGATATCCGTCTCCGTCTACAAGGACAAGGACAAAAGGGTTACGGTCCTGGTGGATTGTCAGTTTTCTAGCTCTCGTGGTTTCTGTAAGCCTGTCGACTCCCACCTGGCCTCTGGCCTGTCGTTTGTATTTCTCTCGGCCTTCTTTAACCTCTTCATAGTCGCTTTTGAGCGAGCTGTAGTCATCCAACAGACTTTTGAACTGGCCGAGCAAGTTCTGGAGGTTGTCATGTTGCTTTTGTTGCTCTCGCGATAAGGACACTAGATGCCCATTCAAGGAATCTATATCAGAATCCCGCAGCATCTTGTCGGAGGTACCGGGACGGCATGTGCCAGTCCCATAAGCCAAGGTAATTCAACGCAAGCTGTCAGCATTCAATTAAGATTTGGAAGAAGAAATTCAATTTTCCAATCTGTGAGGTGTGATGGAGAGCTATGGTGGGGAAATTTGTTTCTCTGTTTGGCTTGGGCGGTCAATTGCCGTTAGGCATCAGGTGACCCACGGATAGCGGATGATACGACGCGCTAGTTGTATCACGTGCAGGATTTCCCCATAAAACCATAAAAATGGCAAAAAAGGACTAGCGTTAACGCGACCCATTCGTTCTACTGGTCTCGCTTTTATCAGAGTTGCAAACCACATCTAGAGGACTCACCATTGCCAATCCCTATTTTAAGGACTTCCAGCTTTGAGACCTTTGGCGGACCTTTGAATTTTGGCCAAGACACTGTTCTCCTACTAAATAATTGCATATGTTATCACAAACAACATATACTATTGCAAAATCGAGGTAATCCACTTAGTTACCTACGTACGCGTAGACTTGGTGTGACAACTATTTCCGATCATGTCACGGTGATTCGTCATTTATTTTAAGAGTTCTGACACTTAGAGTCCTTGGCGGTTGATCTTCTGTCTAATCCAGCTCTGGCAAAGTAAAAGGTTATGGCTAGTAGTGTCCCAAAGGATGCTTTGTAGGGTAGTGTGCCGAAACAAGAGTAACGCCGTGTTTCCTTGTGGCAGCACAAATTTGTTTGAAGCATCATGCTTTCCATACACTGTGTTACATGTGCCGCTGCACATGGAGGAGCTCCTGTACGTGAAACACTTGTGGACATGTACCTGTCATGTGACCCCCTGTCGATGTTTTGGAGACCAAGCTAAACAGGCCCCGGGCTGGGGACATCTTAGGCTTACATCTCATTACTTTGCTCTCTCTGCTTTGTTTCTTTTTTCTCTATTCCCCTTTTTACTTTTTGCTTTTTCTCCTGAACGTCTGTCAGGACTTGATCATCCAGGTCCCAGGTGATTCCCTAGTTCTTTGTCTATATATATATATATCGGTTCCACGCCATATCTTGGACTCGGCTTCCCAGCTCTTCTATCAGGTCCATCAATCTCCTCAATACCAAGCACTCCTGACTATCACTGAGCTCCCACATCCAGAATCCAGACCGTTCCGTTCTAGGCGCGTTTCTCTTAGATGCGCGGGAAACCCAAGAAGCAGCCCGCTACATTTTGCGGGAGACGGCAATCGATGGCACATCGCAATCCGCCCCAACAAGGACAATTTGGGGGTTCCTCTCAGATTAGAAATATTTAGTCAGCACGTGTAAGCATAGCATGACTATATCCAAACAAGGCTCCCTCACTTTCGTTCCTAACTTGCGATCGCGTAGTTCGGGCTATTGATAGCAACAGATCTGTCTGCTGAGACCAAGCGGCTGGTATATGAAAGAGACGGTGGGCGCTGTAGCCTCACGCAAGAACACTTCAAGTCCCCAGAGGATTCTGATCTGCGCTTTGTGCACATCGTTCCGCCACAGGTGTTAATGAAACTAGTCGAGGGGGCAGGTATGTTCATTCCATATCACATGTTCTCCACTGACTCCAGCACACAAGGGTCCATCCACTATTGCACTATTGAGATGCTCTGCACTTTTCTGTCCAGGGGTTCCATAGAATCTCTCCGGTCGGTCCTCTCCTTGTACTCGCGGCTAATGGAGGGACCTGATAATCCCTTGCTGTCATCAGTCTCCGCATTCGAGCTTGTAGAGGCGGGCGAGGTATGGCTCAAAATCTGGAACTGGGATTAGTACAATTCACCCAACAGAGCGAGTGTAGGTCACGATCAAACCTTTCATACGTGTGCACTGACTTAGGTACAAGTATAACACCAACGCCAACCTATACAGGTACAAAGCTCGGAGCGAAATGCCCATTGTTTCTTGGGCCAAGGTTATGCTTCTTGAAAATAAGACAACTGACCAAACCCCAATCCCCCACAAAGATCTTTTTGAGCTTCATGCCCTGTTTTCCAAAACACTGGCATGGATGGAGGCACAGAGGCACATGATAGAACAACGGGATCCTTGTAGGTTTGAACATCGCTTTCGCTTTTCCTAAAGCATTACTAATAGCTCTCAGGTGCACAAAGTGTTCGGTTTCATTGTTGCCCACGCTGTTATTTCGCACTATCAGACGAATACGGACCATTCTCCTATGCTCTATTCGAGATGGAGCCTATAAAAAGCTCTTCTCGGCTGGTTTCTGCTTCTATGGACGATCACTTTCCACAAGAGTCCAACGATTGCCTTTTGGGCTGTATTTACGGAAGGGACAGCCTCAGGAGGCATGTCAATATCGGGTGGAGGCTCATACTCTTGGCATGGTGGAGAAATTCTCACATATACCCGCGCCGAGGGCAATCGATGTCTTGGAAACCCCTGATGCTTCGTACTTGCTCATGATCCAAGCCCAGGCCGTCCAATCGGCCAACTGCTTAATACGATGACGGACGAGCAAATTGAAAGCGCAGTAACGGACCTTAAACGATACGTCGCTGAGCTGCGGGCAATGCCCAATGAAGTCAGCAAGTTTCAAATCTGTAACTCTCAAGGTGGTGGGATACTGGACTGGCGTATCCCTGACAGTCAGTCAGAGGAATTGCGCTTCCGAACGGAGACCGAGACCGACTTTCACAACTATCTCACTACAATGATGACGGATGAGACTCGAAGGGACGCGGCCAAGTCGCACGCCATCGAGTCTTCGTAGGGAAACGCGTCCAGGATACGTTTGCCGGCTTCCAGGGTGCTAGGGCTGAAGGAGGCGAGCTCATAGGCCAGGACCAGGCTCATGGAAAAGGGAATGTTGTTGGACGAGCGGGCGTGAAGTTCCAGCCGCCGCTTCGATTGGTCGCATGCCACACATCCCCCAATGGAAACCCGGGGCAGCGCATCGGCTGCTGAGTAGGACATAGAGTGAATAGTTCTCGTATTGGGCAGCGATCTCGTAGCTTAAACGAAGAGACGTTTTAGCGAATGAAGGTAGGTGTCTCTAACCAATATTCAAAGTCAGGGTTGAGTGGATTGGAAGTGAGAGTTGGTTGGAGGAAAGTGATAGTGGATAGGATGCGGAGCTTTAGAGACAACAAATAAAAGGAGGTAAAGACGAAAATGGAGAGAGCTGGGAGTCGCAAGCCAAGAGAAACCCAGGGCTTAGTCTCAATTTTATGGAGGGGAGAGAGGTTCTGTCTAGGAGCCGCATTGTTGCCTATTTTACACCAGCGCATGCATATGCAGGTATCTAAAAGGAGGTCAGAGAAGGAAAGTCCGCATAAATCCAGCGCTATATATCGTGTTTCAAGCAAGACTAAAGCCAACCAAACGCGCTAGAGATAATATTCAGGTTAGGTTTCGAAATCAGCTAGACAGTGCATCCCCTCAGTTAAATGTCGAATCAAACAGAGCTGTCGTTTCCCCATGTCGACACCTTCGCTGATGTTCCAACCTTGGGAAGTTGTATTGGATCTCAGAATTTAGAGTGTGTCTAACACTTGCATGTTGACGCTTCAGCACAGACCTTAGCATAAGACTTCAACCAGTTAACGCTCGGATCTATGTCGAAGTCAAAATTGATTGGATTGGGTGCTTTCTTTGCCACTAGCGCACTGTGTTGGTATTACGGTGGTCTAGTGGGCAGAAAGTCCAGCCCATTCATTAAAGCAGAGATTACCAAGTAGCACTGTTGGCGACGATCCATGCAATTTGAGTTTGAAGGAAGCAAAAAGTAGCTCATGGCCAGAGGCGTTGGGCATATAGGGCAGATTTGGAAAGCGGCTAGCACCAGGCGTTGTGATAATGTCAGATTTCCACTTGCCAATAGGTCATATTCGCCAGGGCTATGCTTTTAAGTCCCGCGACAAACCGCACATTTTTTAGCGTCAGGACAGTGGATAGCCAAGAATCCCTCAATTACATTATCCTCTATTCGATTCCTCATCCTCTAGGCAACTAATCCTCCAGCTTTCTCAGTTTATTAATATCCAGAGGTCAGTATGACTCTTTATGTCACCAAAGCGTTTTCCGAGGTCGGGTAGTCACGGCGTATCATGACTAGTTCTAAATCCAATTCTTTTCACCATTTGCTACTCTCTTTGGAACATCCATCGTATCCCGCTACATAAGACCGAGTGTATGGCCAAGCTCAAGACAGGGGCGGAAGCATCCGCAGACCCACAAATTCCTCCACAACACGCAGAATGGATTCAGTCGAATCAACAAACCCAAAATACCCAAGTCTTCTTGGCTTTTGTTATGAGTTGACTTCTAGTCAGCCCTATTGACATTCCAACTATATCCCCCACTTACCTCAAACAAATCGGAAAATTCATAGCGATGGGAATGCCAGCGAAGCGAAAGATGCGGTCAATATCCCGAAACTCCTTTTCGCGCAACCCCTTCTCCGCTATCTCTGCCAACGCCTTTTAACGGTCCGGCCCCTTTGCCCAGCTCGCAAGTCTAAAACAGAAACGGAGCACGCCAGGCGGACCATGACCACGCGGTGGATCATGTGGAATGGTCACCGTCTCATACGAAGTATTATCGCTCGTATCGGGACCCGTCCGAGGCATCTGGAAACGCTCGGCAAGCTTTGGCCAAAACTTGCCCCATGTGAAGAGACAGTCATCTGTCGCATTGAAGCTCTCGTCTTTGGCCTGCTCGGTCAGCACGATCCATTCTGCGAGGTATGCATTCGCCCGTGCGCTTGAGATGGACACATTTGTCCCCCATGCCTCGATGTCGCTGGGGTATTCCAGAGGCCGGTTGAAATATTTTTGAACCGTGGCGTAAATTGCAAGCGGTAACAAAAGTTCATGGTGGCATCTGGGACTGCCACGGCAATGTGAGACGGTCAGGTAGTGTTCCAGCCGATTTGGTGCTCCCTAGCAAAGGCTTGCAAGTAGTCTTCCTGATCATAGTAGAAGTTGGGCCGGGTTCGGGACGCGAGGATCTGATTCTACCTGTGGACATAGAACCGTTGTGTAGACCGTAATACCTGGTCCCTAGCTGTAACGAGACACGCTTGGGGATTGTTTTGTTCAATTCCAGGCCTTGGAGCAAGTTTACAAGCAGTTTTTCTGGTTGATTTTTAGCTGAGAATAGCTTTCAGTCGTGTCATTTGTATAGTCACTCACTGTTTACGACAACTAGTTCGTCTGCATCCAAAACCGCTTCCCTATCATTGGGTTTAGGTTGGGCATACGCGAAGAAGACATAATATGCACGAACTCCCCTCTTGGCTACCTCTGTCGCAATGGTTTCCGGTGACTGCAACAGATCAACCGATACCATGCTCGACATGATTGGGCCACGAGCCATGTGACGGCCCTCTCGACAGAGCGTAGATCTTCTGCCACTGATGAGGGGGTTCGCAAAGAACTTTGAGCTGATGGTTGCTGGAAATACCGTCTCTGGAAAATACAGGAGGCCATGGTACATATCTTTGGACTGGATTTTTGACATGCTGAGTTGATGCAAGTTCGTACTCCAGGCTGAGTGTGTATGTATTCTATGATGCAAGTTGCCCGGGTCCCTCAGTACTTCTACCGTGCGCCTTTGCTTTCGAGGTTCTGTACAACGTATGATTTCTAATCAACTGTTGTTTACTTTCCCGAGGTCAATGCTCTTGCTTACCTCTAAAGTTCTTTTAAGATTATCCATTTTTATGCGGACAAACTTGAATTAGAGGAATGAGTGTCCATCGCACAAACTACCACAGACGGCATAGCAGTTCCGTGGCGCTTAGCCGCAACATCCCACGCCTGTTGTGCTTTCTTCGATACGTAGAACTCCGAGCTGATCGCCCATATCGCTTCGCCCAGGATTGCATCGTACGTGAAATAATAATGGGATGCCGGCGTGCTCGATGAACCGATACCAATTTCCATGGAATTTAGCCGAGGCATATGTTGAGCAGCACGTCCAGCAGCGAGACTCAACTCATCGAGATATTTACTCTTGAATGGACTTTCTTGTTGGTCATCCGGTGGTTCGACTGAGTCGTCCCATGACGCGGGAGCATTTGAGTATCTTATGGTAATCTGGATAAGGTTTGGCCAAAATGGGGTGGTGTTGTTAGCATCTACCGGCCAGAACAATTCAGGGCCGATCATGGTTTCTGATAAGTCAACACTTTCCAGCTGCTGAGTCATTTGGTGCAAAGCAAGGGACCGAAAGTTGGGGCCTGGGGTTGAGTGCGGTATGTAGTCTTCGTCATAGCGTGGCTCATATCTTAGTTGTAAATGTCGCAGGGAAGAAGGCCAACTAGCGGCAACTGTAGGGAAATCTATTCGCACTGTCAGAACATCCTGAATATCTTGAAAGACCGAAAGTGCGTGAATGTTCCTATGACTTACCACCAAGACCATCACACATTTCGGTATCATTTCTGACTTTGTCACAAAGTCTGGCGGTAATGGTTTGCAGTCGTGGAAGATGGACTGTAATTTTGGATACAGCTCCCGGTGCAATATTGCGGAAATTCTCACAGCCAGACACATCCAATGAAGTAATGCACTTGACATCAGGAAGACCTGTCTTTCCCATCAGCTGTAGATAGGAATCTTGGTATCGCCGCTGTAGCAGCTCCTCCTCTGGAAAAGCGTAGCCTCGTTCTTGCCGAGTACGTCGTATGGTCCAGTCCGGCTCCGCTTGCCAATCACTTGGAGACCTGGCATATATCTGCAGTGACATATAGCAATCGTACTTGGGCCATGAGCTCAGAATTTCAAAAAGGGATGTTATGGCTTGCGTGAAGACCTTGTTATTGCCATCGCGATCATCTTGGGTTTCATAGTGGCCGCGGGCAGCAACACTATATTCTGGGAGAATGATCTTGAAATATAAACTTCGGAGGTGGAAACGTCGACCGGCGGAGTTGGACAAAGGAAGAATCCGACGGAAATCGTCGAGGTCTGCCGAATTGATATGCAGATCGGCGAAGGTAAATCTCTCAGCGGCGACCTGCCATTGCCGGCAGACACAAGTGCATGGGGTTAGGCGGCTTGTCTGGTAGGAAAATATGTGCTGAAGGGTTTCAAGCGGTAATGACCCAGCCATGGCGCCTGAAGTGAAAGTTGATCATTTGGCGATGTCTGAGACCAACTCAGGCAAGGGAAGAAGATGTGGGGAACGCTAAACCCATTTTGGTATGCAAGATGTTGAGTTGACAACCCCACAACTTCCACAGTTGAACATTATCCACTGCCTAGGTCCTACCTAGGCATTGAGCCCCATTCATATGTTATGCGCATGTGAACGAAAAATGAAAGATTGCCCAGAAAGTGGTTGCACAACCTCCATTTCGTTACACAGACCTCGGTCTCACACCCATGGGACTTGGCACAGATCATTGGCCATGTTTATAAGTCCGACTGCCCCCTGGGGCCTGTTTCCGATTTGAATCGGTTTCGCGCTAGCACACCATTTTCACGATGAGATATGTACTATTTTCTTTGAGCGCGTCGGTGTTCTACGCCATATTCTATTTTTCCTACATCAATGGCCTCGATGCGCTGGGCCGCAAATCCATTGAATCCGGCAAGCTCCCGAGCATTGATGCGCCTTTGCGCACAGTCTACACGGGAATCAAGGAAGTCGATCACGTACTGACTCTTTTGACGACATTTTTCTACCCGGCACTCGATGGCAACAACCCTGGTCTGCTGCTTCACGGTGTTTCATTTAGTGGTACATTCGGCGCAACCTGGACTCTCATTGTCTTGGAATCTTGGAGAAAGGGCAATGCTGGGACAATAGCCGCTTAGTACTTAATGCCCACTGACGAGCATCTTGGATAACGAATGGAAACTAACTAATCGATTTAGCCCGACCATATTTGGCCTCATCGCTCAAGTATTAACTTTTGCCTTTGGGATCCCATTGGCATGTGGTCTTCAGCTGGGCAGCTCAATCACTGCGCGCCGTCCTCACGCAGATAATATCCGCATTCCGCGAGCAGTTCTCGCAGTTCTACCGTTGGTCTTTGTCGTAGGATACATGGTGCCGACCGTGGCGATGACGTTGCCCGCTCCCTCTGTGATCCCCGTGGAGCTAAAGCAGATCGCCATTGCCATCTGGCACCCCTGGCCCGCCTACGTGTCAATCCTGACGACGGTCGCCTCCTTTATTCTGTCACCTTTCTTCTCTAACAACCACCGGGCATCCATGTCTAGCTTGCGCTGGGTCTACGCATTTGCGTTCGCCAATGCATCTCTCTCGCACATTGTGTCTTTGGTCGTCTCTTTGGCAACCGTTGTAGTGCCCGTTCTATTTGAAGACCGTTTCCTGGACTCCCTTTCCCCGGCCAATGTTTTCTCGGTTCCTCTGCCTTGGTCTGCGCTGACGGTTGATAATGTCGGTGACGGTGTCCATGTCTTCCTCCGATGGGACTATATGATTGGTTCTGCGGGTATCTTGATTTGGGCTATTTCGCTGTACACCGTTGCTCACAGGCAACTCCTCAACACTGTCTCTTGGCCCAGTCTTTTGGTTAAGATTGCTCTGTTGACGGTTCTTGTCGGCCCTGCAGGTACTGCGGTGGAGTTGATTTGGGAGAGGGATGAGCTCGTGTTTACCGAGACTGGCGGTAGTAAGCAGCAGGTTTTGAAGGCCAAGAAGTCCACCTGATGGGATATTGGTCGAGCAATGATTAAACGACGACTTCGGACTATCAATGTTGAAGAGATACTTGTCAATTTATGAGGTGGAGTAATATCTAGAGCCGTCCGGTCTAATACACATCCGAAATCATGACCGTTGACGTTAGATTTTTTTGCAAAATCATGAATCCATACATCACAGGGATACAGACGGCTTCTTGTCTGCCATAATCTCATAAATCGCATTGACGTAAGCCTTGGAGTTTTCATTTCCTAAGATCCCTGCCCCCATTTTGTTCATGGCATAAGCAATAGTCATTCGGCGATCCAGATCCATGATCAGCATAGATCCGCCCCAACCTCCCCAGAAGCAAATATTTCCGTCGGGGACAAAGGTGATAGCCTCCGGCACCGGCAGGGCGACTCCAAGGGCGAATCTCACGTTCATGAACAACACCAGATCGACACCACTAATCCGTTCCTGTATCATCTGGTCGACAGTCTTTAGCTTAAGATACTGCTTCCCATCAACAGTCCCTTTCAGGGACACCATCGACCCAATGCGAGCCAGAGAACGCGCATTTGCAAACCCATTGACGGCACCAATCTCAGCCCCTCTATACGCAGGGGTCTGGGCATCCTCAGCCTTCAGCGTAAGATTGCCAAAGGCTTTGCCCACAACGCTTTTCGGGTCCATCTCTGGCATAGGCGCAGGATGAGCAGGAACAATATCCGCCGTACGAGCCCAGTCCTTTTCGGCCACACCGAGACTAAAGTCCGCGCCCAACGGGCCCGCGATCTCATCGGCAATGAACTGCTTCAATGACTTGCCGCTAATGCGTCGTACGATCTCGCCGATCAAATGACCATGGTCAACGAGCTGATAGGCAGACGACTCCCCGGCCTTGAACCACGGAGCCTGCGCAGCGAGCAGGTCAGTCGAAGCCTTTGTGTCGTAAATGGTTTCCATGGAAATGCGCTCGTCCCAGTGCGGCAGACCAGAGGCGTGGCTGAGAATGTGCCACACTCTCGTGTCTTCTTTGCCGTTAGCTGCGAACTCCGGCCAGTACTTGGACACTTTCTCTTCGACGTCTAGCAGGCCGCGATCAACGAGGATCAGCGCTGCCAGGGCAGTGACTACCTTGGTAGATGAGAAGACGACGATCAGGGTGTCCTTTTCCCATGAGCGTGACTTGGTGGCGTCTGCATGACCGCCCCAGATATCGAGGACGTTCTTTCCGTCGATGTTGACACAAATTGAGGCACCGAGTTCTTCTCCCGAAGTCAGTTTTTCTTGGAGAAGATCACGCACGCGGTTGAATGCGGGGTCACAGTGACCGTGTGGGGTAGCCATGGTAAAAACTGTTTCGTTCTTGGTTTTACAGTGAATGGAGATATTTGAAGCTTTCGGTAGGTTTCGACCGTACAATTGTTTTAGCAGCGAGGGATGTTCCACAAAACTTGCAACGGATCCCTGCGTTTCTATAAGCGGTTTTTGCTGTTCTTCTAGCAGGGCATCTTAGTGCTTACTGTGGGGGCATCCGCAGATTGACTTGGACTGACTCTAACTGACTCATAGCCGAATGAGCTACCTCGGTAGTTACTCCCGTGCTTAAGATGAACGCTACGAATCCATCACAGTATCCGTGCCGAGGTACACTCAATAAGGTTAAATGCCAAATGCCACGACAAAGGGTGTGATGGTTTATGCGCACTCCGGAAATATGTCAGCACCTTCAAGTGTATATTTGCACCACCAATGCCTGGATTATAAGCATAATCAGTACTGGTGGATACAGAATGGATTAATTTAACACGAATAGACTAATATCTAGTATAATAGCCTTTCCTTTCCCTGGCACCGTTATAATGGAAGGGAACGAAGTAGTTTGGCGGTTTCGGCCCCCAGCAGTATGTATCTAGTCCCGTCGAGCACCTAGATGCTAGCCTCTAGACAGATCATGGAGTAATGATGGCGCCGGCCATTCATAGATCCCTGCAGAGGGACACTTTATGTATCTAGTGGAGATAATACCTAATCTTGACGATGCTTGAAGTCATTGGATGTTGTTTTATCATTCGTCTCTGCTATCTCATAGACCTTCGTCCCTCTATTTAATCTTCACTTCAAAATGCAAATGAACTCCCACTGAGATCGATGAAGATAATAGCATTTCAGCAGGGGCTATATTGTGATCAAGGCAACTACATACACGCGAGACTTTGTGTGGTATTAAAACAATGTGTTCATTCCGTGGCATGTACAGCACCTCTGAAAGACTGGTGTGAATAGTAAGTCAATAAATACATAGAAAAGAGTATACAAGATGAACACATCCGCTATAATGCCATGCAAGTACAAATTACAACCAAACCACAACTCCCCCCTCTTTCATCATTCGAATATTTACGCTGACTTCTTTGGCGCAGCGGCAGGCTCATGACCTTTCTCAAGAGCCACCCGTTCTTCCGACGCGGAAGAGAAAGATACAGCTTCACCAGCAGCAACCCGCTGCTCTGCATACTCCTCATCACTTTTCCAGAAGTCCTTCTTTCCATGAGCAGCACGGTTAACCCAGGGGGGAAGGAAACCACCCTTGACCTTCCAAGACCAAGGATCGGATTCATCCTTGTTAGGCGGGACAATGCGACCACCGGTGATCTTCTCAAGGCACCAGGCAAAGCCATTGAGGGTGATGTAGCTGGTAATACCAGCGATCAGACCATAGGCAATGCTGTATGTGAACGGCATGATGGCGATGGTGAGGAACGCGGGGATCGCATCACCGTAGTACCGCCAGTTGATATCGGCGGCAGACTGGGCCATCATCGCACCGACAATCACGAGCGTGCAACCAGTGGCCCAAGGTGGAATGGAAGCGAATATCGGGGCGAAGAATACTGCGATGAAGAATGCAATGCCGGTGACGCATGATGTCAGGCCTGTTTTGCCGCCTTCGGAAATGCCGGCGCCGGACTCGACGAATGCTGTGACGGGGGGACTGCCGAGGAGGGATCCGATCGAGATGGAAATCGCGTCAACCATGTAGGCCATGGCGCTGCCCTCGAAATCTTGGGTCTCCTCGTTGATTGCGCCGGCAAATCGGGCCATAGAGTACATTGTGCCTGTGGTATCTAGAATATCGACATACTGCGGAAATGTTAGTCGTCAACCTCTTGCTTATATGAAACGTTTGCGACATACCAAAAATGTGATAAAAGCCAGTCCAAACTCGCCGCCCTTGCCAGCCAAGTTCCAATCCTGAGCGAGTAGAGTATGCTTGATAGGATGGAAAGTGACAACTTTCTTGAAGAAATCAAACTTGCTGGTTCCGAGCTCGGTGTAGGGGAAGTAAGTGACGGGCGTAGTGCGAGGCCAAGAGATGATAGAAACCAACAAAATACCGAGAATGACAGCACCCTTGATACGGTACATCATGAGCAAAGCCGTCATAATACCGCCACAGAAGATGCCAATCCACATAGTAGGACTGCGCATCTTGGCGCTGCTCATGCACAGACCCGTCGTCTCGTCAAACTGGTCCTGCGTACATCCTGCCAACTCAATGGGAGTGGAAGTGGCACCCTGAACTAATCCAATACCAGCACTGTAGGTCAAACCGATCAATGCGAGGTACAGACCGATGCCAACACCGGTTGCGAGTTTGATAGACTTTGGCAGCGCACGCGCCAGCCACTGCCGCATACCGATCAACGTCAAGCCCAAGAATACCCATCCTTCCACGAAGACAGCCGTGAGAGCAGTCGAGTACGGGACCATGCCGGTACCACGGACTCCAACAACAGTGTAGGCAAAGTATGCGTTCAGTCCCATTCCAGGTGCGAGCGCGATAGGCAGGTTGGCGAAGAAACCCATGCAGAAAGTCGAGAGAGCGGCGATGGCGGCGGTGGCGGTGACGATATCGCGGTTTATTTCCTGCGTGCACAGAGCGTACTCAACATTATTTGCGCAGTGATCTGCCATGTCTTCCTCGGGGCAGATGCAAGTTCCACCGGTCAGAGAGGTGATGTTGCTGTTGACGGATATGATGTATGCCATGGCGAAGAAGGTGGCGAGGCCGGCGCGGATTTCAGTGAAGAAGTAGCTACCCTTCCTCTCTCTAGGCTGACAGGGTTTAGTCTCACACTCGGTATTGACAGTACGATCGCACGTATACAGTGCAGTATCACTTACATGGCCGGAGCCCTCCAGACGAAACCATTTCCCCACGGGACTGCGGGCAACCCGCACGTTGGTGTCGTGGACCCAGGTACCGAAACCCATTGCAAGAGAGTATCACGGTCTTGTGCGGTGGATACAGCGAATTCCGAAGACACTGTCGTCGTTTAGACGCAGTATTTAAAGACGTTCCTGCAGTGGGAGGTAGGTGTAGAACATAAGTGAAGGAAAAAATAGGCAAATCTCCAGGTCTCTCGGCCAACCACATCTTGCTGATAAGAAGACCAAAAAAAAAATTTCGCCTCCAATTGCAGCTATCTCCGGCCTTTTTGGCACTTGGCAGCCTAGTGGGGTCTCGTTTCAACCGTGAGATACCGCGTAGACATCCTCATTGGCTATGAGTTTGCCGACTGGATTTTATCACAGATGGCCCATGGGTCAACACTCGGCAAGCCGGTGACGAAAAACGACATTATTTCGAGATGCTTCAAATGGCCATGTGTCCAAAGGAATGGAATGTTCAAAACAAGAGCCATATCCTTTGGGAAATGGATATGAACATCCCTGCAATGCCAAGACCTCGGTGCACTCAGCCCTTGTGAGCTCTATCTTATCAATTGAGTGTGTCGTGTATTTCGTGTATGTGGGAATGTGGGCGATAACGGAGGAAGCCGATGATATAAGAAGAAATCGCCGCATATCTGGGTACCTAGCTATCCAAATATCCCAGTCTCATTGATCTGAGATATCTGGGGCGGCCGGATCCGATCGTGGGCCATCAACGAATCTCACCCGCAGATATCGGATTTGTTCGGTCTGACAGCCTTACTTCGTGCATCAAGTGTTTAAACCACTCGATACGGAATAGTACTTGGTAGCACGCGCATGCTTTGCCTGGAAAAGGAGGGGGCCGACCTAAACCCATTGAGGCGCTATGCCACGTGGTGGATGAGCGACGGGAATTTCGGAGATGCCAAGAATAACTACGAGGCACCAGAAAGTCAATTCTTTCTGGTGGTCCGGTATTGATTTCTTTATACGTGGTGTATACTTAGACAACGCACATCACAGACAGACTTACGTTGCGTTGTATGAAGATCGCATCTCTATGACCGATATTTCAATGAGTGAGCCACATAAAGAAAGTGCAGTGATTGAAAGCTACAATTCCGAGATTCTGCCTACGGATTTCTTTAAGCAAGTTGCAGATTTTATGTACGGAAATGCAAAAACACAAAAGGCACGCCTAAACAGACTCGTCCCCTTTCTCCGACTTTCCTGCAAGAGCGGGCTCGAAAATTGGAGCAAATTTAGACTTCTTGCGCAGGGCAGGTCCCCATTTGATGAATGCTAAGGGAATCGGGATCATGATGAGTGCGAGACACCCAAGAAGTGTGCCGGCCCACTGCACACCTAAATTGACGAACATCTGCCTCGAGAACAGGGGGAATGCAGCTCCCACCGTCGATCGAATAATGGTATTCGCAGCAAACACAGATGCGGCACTGGTTCAAGGTTAGCATAGCCTTCCATGGTAAAATGCAAAGCACGAAGCTTACAATGTCAAATATGAGTCAATCAAATAATTGAAGCATTGCAGGAAGATGACATAAATGCCGAATCCGGTCACGACTCCGCTGGCAGTGGGCGCCATCCAATGGATTGACTTTGTCCATCCAGTCCAGCCATACCAGAAGAGCCCGACACAGAAGCAAACACCCCCAAGGATGGCGGGGGGGAGCCTCCATTCCGGAACCGGGATGTTATTGTTGGCGGTTAACTTTTTGATATATGTGCTCTGATCGAAAAGGATATAGGCGCCAGCTAGGAACTCGCCAATAATCAATCCGATGAAAGGGAGACCCCCAACACCAAGATTCATCCCGTGGATTCCTTGGAAGACAACGGGGTAGGCGCCGAGAAGTGCGTACATCAGGCCATATACAAAACTCATCCAGAGAGAGATCTGAAGGGACGTTAGCATGAACCAGCTGGGGATATTCGCACGACTTACCAGGAAAACAATTGGCTCAGTGAAGAGCATACGGAATGGCCGACTGAAATTATTCGTGATCAGCTCACCCCAATCTACCTCGATCTCTTCTTGTCTCGCGCGGATTCCCCAATTGCGTGTCTGCCGTCGCAGGATGGTCGCTTTTTCCACCAGGACAGCGGGTGCATAGGTCTCTTTCAAGAAAAGAAGACAAAGACCAGTGGCCAGCCAGCCCATGATGGACGAGATGTACATGGTCCACCTCCACCCCAGATAAGACATGGTGATGAAGCCACCAGTGAACGGAGACGCGAAAGGCCCCACGAATACAGCCATAGCGAACATGGCGATAGCCACGCCCCGCATCTGGTTATTCCAAATATCGGCAAACACGGCCGGGACAATAGCGATCGGACTAGCAGAGAAAAAGCCGGAAAAGAATCGCGTCAACATCAAGGTCTGAACGTCCTTGCTGGTCGCTGTCGCAATGGCGAAAATGGAGTACCCGAACATGCCAATGCAGATTGGCCATCTTCTCCCAATGAGCTCACTTGCCGGTGCCCATATCGTCGGCCCCGAAGCGAATCCCAAAACATACAGGGTCACGCCGAGGATAGCGACTTCCGTGCTGATATGAAAGTGGACGCTAATTTGTCCGACCGCGGAGGAATAGATGGCGCTGGCGAAAGACGAAACGAAGGTCGTATATGCTAAGGTCACTGATACTCCGATTTTGCGTCCGAGGGACCAGTTCTGCGGGTGCAGAGGATCGTTTGCATCGTTGAATTCGACGATATATTCTTCCGGATCTGGGAGGGGTGGGGGATGAGGCTTACCAGCTCCGAGGGGAAGCCACTGGTCGGGTGGTGTGATTCCTACGCCGGAGCCGACAGTTGAGCGATGTTGGAGTCGATAGGTGTTGATTCTCTCTATCTCAACGTCGTTCAGGTTGCTTTGGCGGCGATTGATGCTCCCTGTGTGCATGGGCCCAATTTCCGACAAACGGCGATCGGCCCCCGTCGTGATGGTACTGAGGTCATCGCTTTCACTAGTGCTAGTATCGTGTGGACTGTGCGACATGCTGATCTGTGCAATGCACTAGGTTTCTAAGAACGATTTTATCCAGGAATAAGGATAATATATACAGCAATTGACAAAACTGGGAATTCGGAACATTTTGTTCCCTATAGATCGGGCATTTTCATCACTTTGATGGTAGTCCACGGCGTCATCGAGTGTTGCTTTCCCCGGTTGATCCGCTCAAAGTGCTACGGTAGGTCATAGAACCAGTGCCGCTATGGGCCGTGACGTCCCAACTAGGTAATAGGTCCCGGTCGCAAACCATGGTTTGGTCCGTGAAGACATGGGAAGTCTAGTTGACAGTTACGAACTACAAGGATTTTATATCCCAATAATATGCATTGGAAAACTACATAAGTATTAGGAATGGGTTGAGCATGTAAGGCATCGACGTGCCGGGGAAAGCGCCCATTATAAAAGTATAGGATCAACAAGAAGTCAACAATAGAACTGCCGATTGCTAGTATCTGGTCATTCAAATATTTTCGGGGCAATTCTGGCCGTTGCTAGTGTTCAAGCTTCGAAATTGGATTAATAGGTTTTTGGATATCTTAGAAGGCATTGGAGTAAATTGACGCTGTACAGACCGACAGTATAGAATGAACGGGGAGTATTTTGACAAAGTATGTAGACTAATATTGGTGTCCAAAGCAGCTGCAAACGTGGTGGTTTCTAAATTGTCACAGGCATCTTCGATATCACGAAAAAGAAAGGAGAATAATAAGACGACATGAGAGAACCCCAAACTTGCAGCATGAGACTGGAAGGTGTCCGATAAAAAATGATCGTTTTCAGGGCCACCAGAGTGGATAGCTAGCCTGGGTGTCCTTTTCGAGCCCCAAGTTAATTCAACCTGGGCGAAGCCCATCTACACTTAGAACTGCACTCGAAATGTTGTGCGTCGACGTTGATTTGAGTGCGAATGTCAGACAACATAAAACGTTTGTTATGAATAGAAATTTCGTTCCCAACTTGCCGAGAGGGATGGAGTGAGATCAGCCTCTCGCTATGCGCGTCAAGTTCTCCCATGTTTAGTGCCCTGCGGGATACCTGAAACAGATGATTTTCCCCCCGCCAAGGCCCGGGAAACTGCAGTGTGTGACAAAGGCTGAATGAATTGGCGTGTTGGGGCAAGGGGCCCCCCAAGTGTGAGGGGGCTGGTTATGAGGCTCACACCCAATCAGCTGCATTTAAGCGCAGAAGTTGCACCAATAAATGGCAATGATGGGCAAATGGCATGTTTAGCCTCGCACTGACCCGGAGAGGATTCCCCAGGGCCCAATTGCGAACCATCCAATGCTTTGCCTCGATACCACCCACGAAGGTCTAGACTCTTAGTGCTGCTTTATAAACTGACGCTTATTTCTCCTGCATAGAGACGGGCTGTGTAATCCGTACTCCATAACTGCTGCTTAAACAAGAAGATCCCCGCCATGTCGCTGTTGCGGAAACTGAGGATTAAGAGATCTCACGATATGGGACAATCGAAGCAAACCCCCTACGGCGCTGTACCGGTCGAGGAAATTAACTCAAATCCAAGGCCATCATCAGAATTCCAATATTACACGACAATCGAGCTCCCCGAGATCGACGAGCAGAAGCCACAACCGCAGCCCCTCAGGCTCTCTCAGTTGGATAGGATTTCTCGTCTAATATGGGACTTGGTTCTTGCCATTGTAGCCTCACTCTTCACCGTGTTCGGTATATGGGTTTCTTGTATTGATGGAAAACCCGCGGGCCCAGACTCCATAGGGGCCAAATTATTTGAGGTCTCTCAATATGTTAGCTGCCCCGATCTTACACTTGTCATCAAATCTAGCTGACACCGCATTCCTCTTAAAGGCGCCCACTGTATTCCCGGTCCTTTTCGCTGCCATTGCCGGTAGCAGCATCAAAAGCATTGCATCATGGCGCATCCAGAGCACTGGAGGAGCGACAATCGGGCTAGTAGAGCAATGTCTCGGCAGCCAGACCATCACAGGAGCCATTCTTACTCAGATTCGACTGCGTGCTGTGAACTTCGTCGCCGTCTTTACCGTCTTTCTGTGGTGCCTGTCTCCGTTGGGTAGTCAGGCATCTCTCCGGGTAATTTCCATCGTCCCAAGTTACCCAGGTAACCCGGTCGAGTTGACCACTTTGAACACGTTCACCCCGTACCAGTATGGCTATGGCCAAGGGGTAACGGAAGCCATTACATCAGTCGCTAATCCCATGACTGCTTCCTTGTCTGCCGCCTCGCTACTTGCGGCTCGCAACCAAGATCTCTGGGGCAACATCCGATTTCCTGTGATCGAAAATCTCGAGAACAACAATACAGGTTGGATCAATGTACCCCAAAACGATAACTTGACGTACGCGTCTCTTGTCGGTGTCCCGGTGATTGGCTTACCCAGCTCCGGCAACACATCATTTACCCTCCCAGGCTCGTATTTATCCATCTCCTGTCCTGTCCTCGACACTATACACAGTCTGAACTTCACGAATTTTACCGGACCAGACGCTCCATCCCCCGGCAATGGCGACGATTGCAGCTGGACGAGCGCATGGGGTGGGCACCAGTTCCAGCTTGCCATCTCGGAGCCATGTTCGAACTCACTCAATGCATCAAAGACGAGGACTCGGAATGCCCGCAAACTGATATGGGAATCGTGGGATCGTGGTTATGCAGGCCCTGCGGAGCATAGATCCCCCATCACACGAGCCATATGCGACATCAGCACGACCTATGTCGATTCTAACTTGACATGCGAGAGGTTAGACGGGAGCCAGTCTACAAACACTTGCAACCTGTCCTCGGCTCGCCGTTCGGTGGATGAATCACATTTCCACAAGAACTGGACTATCTTCGATGTCAATCTGCTAGGAGATCACAAGCTACCCATACGATATAACAAAGGATTCTTGTATATCCTCACTACCATGTTTCCCTACGCCGAGCAGAACGGTGGTCTAGAGCCCCTAATTGGATATTTTATCGACCCTTATCACGCCGTCGGAAACTTCTTTGGCGAGAATCTCATGTCGCCTGAAACCACGACACCGAAAGTCTTCGGAACGCGTCTATCGCAGCTCTTCAATTCCGTGCTCTATCTCGGAATCAGCCCCTCGGCATTTACGGGATCTGTCAACATGACGGAAATCACACGGAATGCAAGCCCACTCAAGGATACACCCGTCAAATTCACAGCCAAAAATACGCATCTGCAAAATATTGTCAGATGTAACCGCCCATGGCTCGCCGTTCTCATTATTTCCTCGGTGGTTATCTTCTGCTTTGCACTAGTGGGCGCCTATCTCCACATTGTAACAATTGCTCCCGATCTTCTAGGATCGATCTCCGTTGCACTATTGCAAAATAAGACCGAAGGAATTGTCGGATCCTCTACATGGTCTTCAGATGAATGGTCAAAGAACATGCGAGATACGAAACTATGGCTTGGAGATGTTCAGCCTGAAGCTGACGTTGGGTGTCTTGCCTTGACCACTGTGGCACAAGATGTTCCTCCTGGTTCGATAAAGGGAAGACTGTATCATTGAGATAAATAATAGACGCATATCCTATGGCGCTGTAGCTGACCGAGAATGGCATTCTCAGGGGTCATTAATGTGCGCCGAGCTTGGCTTCGGTATGAGATATTGTTTGAAAGACTGTATGTTCTCTTACCTGTGTATTTTTCCTATATACCAGACCAATGATAAAGTATATTTTCTAACGCGGCCAAGGGTGAGTTCTCCTTTCCTTTGCTCTATTCTCTCCTAGCTATAATACTAATAAGGGGGGAAATACCTAGTTATGAGGTAAACATATCTAAAAAGAGCATCCAATGAGAGATTTGAAAAGACATTTCAAAAGAGTGTCCAAAACAATATCTAAAAGACTATCTAAAAGAGTATTAAAAGAGTATTAAAAGAGTATTAAAAGAGTATTAAAAGAGTATTAAAAGAGTATTAAAAGAGTATTAAAAGAGTATTAAAAGAGTATTAAAAGAGTATTAAAAGAGTATTAAAAG